CCCGCAGGGCGTGATGGAGTGGATGTGGGCGCTCGTGCTGCTGGCGGCGCTGGGCAGCGGGCAGGCGGAGCGCGACTGCCGCGTGAGCAGCTTCCGAGTGAAAGAGAACTTCGACAAGGCGCGCGTAGGTATCTGTCCCGGAGGCCCCCGGAGGCCCCCGGTGGCCCCCAGCCCTGCCCCTGGCCCCCGGTCCCCCCCTCGGCTGTGCTCCCCTGGACGCCAACCCCGTGCTCTCGTCTTCCGTGCAGTTCGCGGGCACCTGGTATGCCTTGGCGAAGAAGGACCCCGAGGGCCTCTTTCTGCAGGACAACATCATAGCCGAGTTCTCCGTGGATGAGAATGGCCAGATGAGCGCCACCGCCAAGGGCAGAGTCCGCCTTTTGAAGTCAGTGGCCCCGAGGAGGCTGCTCAGCTCTCCCAGGCCCCGGGTCCCTCACTGGCTGGGCGCCGAGCCCTGGCTGCGGAGGGAGGGGGTGGGGAGCGTCGGAATGGGAAGGGGAGGCGAAGAAGGGGAGAGGAGGAGTGTGCGCCTAGCTCAGCGACTCTTTGGCTTTTGCAGCAACTGGGACGTGTGCGCAGACATGGTGGGCACATTTACAGACACCGAGGACCCTGCCAAGTTCAAGATGAAGTACTGGGGCGTAGCATCCTTCCTCCAGAGAGGACGTGAGTAGCTAGCTCAGTAAGACCGTCTTGGGGGATGGGGAGCTGGCCAGGTGTGGTCCCTGGGTTTGTTCTCCAGGGGAAGAGCCAGCCAGAAGGTAGGTGAAGGTATGTGAACGGTAGGAACCATTAGCGGCGCCCCTGGTTACGGGGATGGGACTGGGGTTAGGTAGGGGGACAAGGTGAAGCTTTCTGCTCCTGTTTAAAACACAAACAAACAAACAAACAAACGCAGCCAGAACTTCACAGTGGCAGTTCTACTCTGTTCTATGGGGTAACTATGAGTTGGAAACGACAGCAAAGAGTTTGTTTTTTTTGTTTTTCCGTTGCTATTAGAGACCAAAATGAGCTCTACAAACTTGGTTCAAGTTTGAAAGGACCTTTAGGTTTAGGTTTCTTAGCAGGCCTTCTCAAAGATGCCATGCCCTGCTTCCAGCACTGTGCCAGAGTGCTCGCCCACTTCCCCAAGACCAGCTCACACCAGCACGCAACCGGGCTTTGCAGTTTGCTCTTCTCTGTGGGCGGAAGGCTGGACAGTGGCATTCGCCGATGTAGGGAGCATAACGTAGGCTTCCTTCCTGGCCGGTTCTGAGATTCCCTCAGGACAGTGTCCTTCATCTTCCCCTTCTCCCAAACTTGGACTTAAAGGAGGCTGTGGGAAAGCAAAGAAGAGAATACAACTTCTCCATGCCTTTCTCAATCTTTCCCCCATTTCTGCAGTGTACTTGGTAACTAGAGACCAGAGCAGGGCAGGGAGAAAAATCATGGAATGTTAGAGATGCAGAGCCAGTCCTATGAAAATTCCAAAACTCACTGCCATTGAGTCGATGCTGACTCATAGTGACCAAATAAAACAGGGGAATTGCCCCCAGGGGTTTTGGAGACTATAACTTTTATGGGAACAGAAAACCTCATTTTTCTCCAGTCGAGCTGCTGGTGGTGTTGAACCACTGACCTTGTGGCCAGCAGTCCAACTTGTAACCCACTATGCCATCAGGTATCCTGGTGAAGGAGGTTCTATACTCAGATGAGTAAACTGAGACCAAGAGAAGACAGATTTGCCCAAGGAGAGCCAATGTCAAAGGTCAGGGGACCCAACTTCCAGGCCAGGATTAGGTGACCCTGAACAACAGAGAAGGGATTCCTGATGCAAACTCACCTCATGCAAAGTATTGCGTGAACTCTCTTGTGAAATAGGACACATGGGGCCCTGAGGGTGACTCTTAGCACAGTGACCTAAAGCAATGTGTCTTTTAGCCAAGCCTTCGCTGTGCACGTGCCACACGCTCAACCACTTCCTCCTCACTTGTCTGTGAGATGAAATTGTGTATGAGGGGACTTCAAAAAACTCATTAGAAAAATGGCATTAGAAATAATGGAATTTTCCCAGGAACTTTCTGATGCTTCCTTGTATATTGAACTGCATTGTCAGCATTGATTTCCATTGTTGGGGTACAGTTGCTATACAGGCATACCTCCATTTGTTGTGGTTAGCTTTATTTCGCTTACAGATTTATTTATTACTGATTTATTATAGATAATGCACTTTGTGTTTGTTGGGTTATTTTGCTTGTTTTTAAACAAATTGAAGGTTTGAGGCATCCCTACATCTAGTGTAAGCATCACTTTTATTTTATATGTACTGGTGAACGGAGACCATCCTGTGATTTTCTTTGCTATGATACTCACAGTGGTCTAGGCCGGAACCCCAGATATCCCTGAAGTCTGCATGTAGTATAAGGGGGCAAGTGCTTTATCTAGAGTAAAAGGAGTATTTTTTTGATCCAGGGTGCAAGATTCCCAGAATTTCCAGAAAGAGTAGATGCATTGGACTCGGGACTATTTTGAGATGTGCTCCTAAAAGGGGTAGGATCAAGTGAGGAGGTAGTCTTGCCTCTTTCTCCCCTGACCTCTCCCCTAACCCCAAGCCAGATTAGCTCTGCTCTGCTTTGACCGCTTGGGTACTGAGATTCTAGCTAAGATTTCATTTGAGGGAAAAAGAACTGCTGAAAAGCATTGCTACTAAGGTTAAGTATTACTACTGAGATAGCTAAGATAGGGAAGACACCACAGGAGAAAAATGAGGCAGTCAGTTTCCCTAAAGATTACAGCCTTGGTAACCCTGCCAGGGAGTTTTACTCTGTCCTGTAGGGTCACTATGACTTGGAATCAACTCGATGGCAGTAGATTTAGGGTTGATACTTTGGAGGGATTGCTGCGTCATCTGGTAGTGCTGTTTCTAGGTTTTAAAAGAAATTGCATACTGTTTTCCATGGTGGCTGTACCATTTTGCAGTCTCATTAGCAGTGGATAAGGGTTCCAGTCTCCCCTTAGCCACACCAACATTTACTGCCATTAAAAAAAAAATCAGTGCCTTTATCCTGGGTGTAATGGCTTCACATTGTCGCTTTGGTTTTCCTCTCTCTACTGGCTAATGATCGTGAACATCAGGTCTTATTTTGTTGACTACTTGGTTGTCCTTGTGATGAAGTTTCTGTTCATGCCCTTTGCCCATTTGCCCATTTTGTGATTGAGTTCTGCTTTTTGTGGTTGAGCTGTTGCTATTGTCTATCGATTATAAAGATTAGACCTTTATTGGATAAGTCATTTCCAAAGAGTCTTTCCCCCTCTGTAAGCTGTCTATTTATTTTTTAAATAAAGCATAAGTTTAAAATTTTTATGATGCCCTATTTATCTATTTAGTCTTCTATGCATGCATTTTTTGTTCTCTTTGTTGTCTTATTATTTTTTTTACCAAAGGTTAGGTCCCATCGTTTTCTTTCAGGAATTTTATGGTTTTAGGTTTAACATTTAGGTCTTTGACCCATTTTGTATTACTTTTTGTGTGTGGTGTGAGGTTTGGGTCCTGTTTTCAATTTCTGCAAGTGGGTATCTAGTTTTGCCAACACCTCTATGCTTCCGCCACTGGATGGACTTTGACCCCTTGATAAAAATCAGTTGTCCATAGATGGATGAGTTTAATACCAGGTTCTCAGTTCAGACCACTGGTCTGCAAGTCGATCACCGAACCAGTATCAGGCTATTTGGATTACAGTGGCTATATAGCATACCTTGATATTAGGGAATATGAGGCCCTCTGCTTTATTCATTTCCTTCAATTTCCTTTGACAATGTTCTTTACTTTCCATATAAAGTTGGTCATTAGTTTTTCCATTTTAGTAACAGATATTGGCATTAAGATTGCATTGTGTCTGCAGATCACTTTAGGAGGGTTGACATTTCACTGTGTTAATTCCTCTAATCTATGAAGATGGGATGTCTCTATTTTTATAAGTCTCTTTTAGAATCTTGTAGTAGTGTTTTAAAATGTTCATTGTACTGATCTTTGATAAAACCCTAGTTAGATTAATTCCTACATATTTCACCAATTTGGGTATTTTATCATTTGGGTGTTTTGCCAATTTGAGGGTTATTGTAAATACTATAATTTTCCTGGTTTCTCTTTCAGAGTTGTCTTTGTTAGTGTAGGTGAATCCAGGGGCTTTTTTATGTGCTGGCCTTGTACGTTTCTAAGTGCTTTTATTTTAGCATTTTTCTCTTTTTTTTAATCATTTTATTGGGGTCTTGTATCATTCTTATCACAATCCATACATACATCCACTGTGTCAAGCACATATGTACATTTCAGCAGTTCTTCCCCCTCATCATTCTCAAAACAT